TTCAGACTACGTTAAAGAGTCGGCCTCAAATGCCGGTGGAGATGAGTCCAAGATCTTTAACATACAACCCCAGCCACCAATCCAACCAGTGAAAATAGTACAGTCCCTTGAGAAGCCGATAGCTCCCAGTCACGAGCTGCAGAAACGACCAACGGCCAAACAGGCCACAGAGGTCAAAAAGGTCAAGCAGGACCGCTCTGCATCGGCATTTGTTCCACGACCTGTAGGGAAAATAGATCAGCCACAACCTATCGCCAAGCAGGCTACAAAGGTCACACAGGTCAAGCAAAACGATGACCACTCTGGAGGGGCAGTTACTCCTAAAAAACAGAGGGAACAACGACACATTACACGGGACAGAGATCAAACATTAGGCCAAACAGGGGTCAGAGTCCAGGAGACACACAAGGTCAAGAGTCCAGATCTAGAAGAACCAGACTCAGGGTTTGATGAAGGAGATGTCTTCCTGGACTCATTGGATTTCTCCACTAATTTAGAGCCACCACTGTTTGAAGTAGGGAGGTAGGATTAGTTGTAGCCTGGACCCAGGCTCTAACCCTAACCCTAACCCTAGCCCTAACCCTAACCCTAGCCTGGGCCCTAACCCTAACCCTAACCCTAACCCTAACCCTAACCTGGGCTCTAACCCTAACCCTAACCCTAGCCCTAACCCTAACCCTAACCCTAACCCTAACCATAGGTCTAACCCTAACCCTAACCATAGGTCTAACCCTAACCCTAACCATAGGTCTAACCCTAACCCTAACCTTAGGGGGTTAATAAATTAATAAATTAATAAATAAATAAATAAACAAATAAATAAATAACATCATATATTGCATGGTAAATCATCTACACGGGTGCTAAAGGGTTAAAGGAGCAAATACAAAAAGGGTTATAATTTAGTTAAAAAATAAGGAAATTCATTGTATTTTTCTCTGGGAGAGTATAAAAGGCAGAGCAGAGGAGGAAAATTCATTTTCACTCTGACAGCCACCAAGTAAAGAACTA